TGCTGTTTAAAATAGCTTTAGCTGAAGAACAGCAGGACATGTCAACTTTCCAAAAGTATTTCATCTCCGCTACCCATCTACATTAAAAGTGTATCACAGACACCATGCATTAAATACTAGGTAAATGCAGTGTTTTTTGGATGCAATGGTGCAATCGCACATTTGCCGTTCACAACTTGTTAAAGCATCACATTTGCATCGGATAACCAACATATAGCGCATCATTTGCATGCCTGAAAGTACACTTGAGTAACCGTAATTACACGTGACACCAATTACTCTGTTACTTTGTATTAAATTATAATGGAAAATTCCACTAGAGAATTGGAGCCTAATTGCATCTTAATTTGCATAATTTTGCATATTAATCACATCTCAGATGAATAATAAATTTCAGCAGATTTTTTAATTTATGCATGGATGCAAAAACAAGAAAAAAATAATCCGTTGAGAGAAAAAAATCTGAAACTATTATTTTGACATTTGCACTGATTTTCTCATTATCCAGCGTCAAAGTTACAGTTCAGCTGTGTCACTCGTATACCATGCTAACATCTTCATACGCTGCCAGGTTATATTCAACAAAAAATGCTTTTGTAAGATAACAGCACGGCAATACCATATCTTGAGCTATAATACAAAATTAATCATGCTGAATGTTAATATGCAAACCGATGCCAGCATTGTCATATAGTGGAAAATGTAGGCTTTTCAATGATGTCTTTTTTCATTCATTATTTGTTCTTTGTTCACTGCCATTGACACATTATTTTTGGTATGCAAGTCCAAAATAAAATCCAGATAATTAGTGTGGCATGAACTCACAAAAATAGAAAAACAAGCATGCAAAGGTTATGAGTGAATAAACCTTCATCCTTGTTATTTATCACTGGTGCTCTCAGAGTTTCTTTCCGCTATAAAATCACGACGACCTAAAGTTTTTGTAATCACTCTGGCGAAGTAATTAATTGAAATCGGAACTGCTGCAAGATTTTTATTATTCTGTTCATTCAAGCCACAGATGTAAAAGCATTTCAGACTGACAGAGATAATTACTATAATACATCTTAGAAAGGTTTCCATATCTGAGCGCAAATTCAATAATGATGAGCTGCAATAGCAATTATTTATCAATAAAAATAGTCACGAATTTGGAGGGGCGTGTAATTCGTGCAGGTGTCTGTAGTCTTGGTTTTTATGCCTCAACCCTGAATGAATAATCATCATTTTCAAAAGAAAACACAGATAGCAGGCAAATACAAAAGCTTGTGACCTGTAATCAGTGGAAACAGCAGGAATTTAATGATGTTTTGCTCTGCTGATCACATTTAAGCTTCTGAAACAATGATGTTGTGCACCTGTGAGGTGTGTTTGGGTGACGCCGCTAGCTTCCGAGAGCGTTTTAAAGCGGTTTGCCCACCTGTGTCACTCATTTGCATGATACGATTCAACAGGAACACTTGCCTAACCTGCTCAAATCTCTCTTCATTCACTAGTACATAGTTCTGTACATGCATTATATGCATATTCATGTAGATTAAAGGTTTGCGAGGTTAAATGGCCGGGGAAAGTTGTCCCAGGGTCCAGTTATACAAATACTTGTTTCACAAGCAGACAGTCTAGGTCAAAAGTGTGAATCCATATTTTTAATAATAGCTGTTGTTAAAGCCGGGATAGTTCACCCAAAAAATGTATTTAGCCACAAGTTGTTCCAAACCTGTATAAATGTATTTCTTCTGCTGAATGTAAAGGAGGGTATTTTGAAGAATGTCAGTAAACAAAGAGTTACTGGTCCCCATTGACTTCTATAGTATTTTTTTCCCCCACACTAAGTCAAATGTCAAAATATCTTCGTATGTGTTCAGTTCAATTCAGTTTATTCTCATTGATCAATACAAAACGGATACAAATCCAAAGAAATGCAGTTAATATGCAACCAGAATGCAGAATAAAATAGTAATTATTCCAAGTAGTGCAAAAAATGCTGAAAATAACCATGCATATGCATATATATAACCATATAGTCACATATTCACATATGTATACTCACACGTTACACAGAAGAAGTTCCGCAGAAGAAATACATGTATACAGGTTTGGAATAACTTGAGGTTTAGTAAATGATGACAAAACTTTTATTTTTGGGTGAAATATCACTTTAATAAAATAAAACCACTCCAGCAGACTGAACTTGGATTTCAGGTTGTTTGAAATCCTAGAAATTCATGCATTTAAAAAAAAAGGTTGGTTTTATGTTTAATAAATTTTTACTATTTTAGTTTGGCTAAAAAGCCTATAATGGGTTGTTTAATTATAGGTTGCATTGTGACAACTTACACCATACTATTTCGTGACAACATGCCCCATCAACATGTGTACACCTTATGCGATTACGGTAGAAATGTTCAGTCGTCGTTTTTGCATTTATTAAGGAATTAAAGTAACATACTTTATGTCTACGCAGAAAATAACGTGTAGTAGTAATATTAACTGTGTGACAATTAGCCCCGGTGTTCTGAATGAACAGAAAAAGTGTTATTTTCTGGTTGTCGAGTTTGAGGTAAACTGATTTCACACATGCACTAAAAACAGCAGCAGCTAAACGCAAAAACCTGCAGGAAAAGTTAGTGAAGAAAACAGATAGCTGCGCACAAATATAGTTAACTGATCTAATGCAAGGACTTTTTAGATGTTAAAATAACGTTATGCGTAAGATTGAGACGATTCAGGTGAATAAAAGTATGAGACATTTTGACCAACAATATTAAACGCACCCCAATAAAGAAACCTTGCAATGTATATTTATATTTACAACTTATAATAAAAAATGCCACTTACATGATTGTGAGGAGTTTAAGAATGACATCCATCCTCATCATCATCATCCTCCTCATCATGCCATCCAGCGTCTGTGTCTGTGCGTCATGGGTGACACATGGGAAACACGGGTCTGTGCCTCCATCTACTGGAGACATATGGCGTTATTATCCTGTCCAATGTCGAGAGCGCATTATTGTAGCGCGAAAGTACATTAATATTATGCGCGAGCGTGAATCTCTCTGCTCGCGCGCGGAATATGATGTGCCGAGCGTGAATCTCTCTGCTCGCGCGCGGAATATGATGTGCCGAGCGTGAATCTCTCTGCTCGCGCGCGGAATATGATATGCCCAGCGCGAATCTCTCTGCTCGCGCGCGGGAACTGGGCACGTGCTCTCAGATACACTTCTCTTGTAAGAATTCTCTCTCTGGGCTGAGTGGGCTCGCTGCCTCGCTCAGAGAATATGCCTGCACTTAAAAACGTGTTCAGTGCAATCGCGAATTGCTCCTCTTCCCCAGCTAACAATTGTAGGTTATAAGAACGTTTTCATAACGTTCCCATTAAGTTATAAAAACGTTATTTCTGAATGTTCTAGGGAATTTCAAAAAGTCCAGTTTTTTAGACGTTGTATTAACGTTATTTCTTGGTTATAAGACCGTTCAATTCTCCCGTTATGTAAACGTTGTATTAATGTTATTTCCTGGTGATAATAACGTTAGAACGTTCAATTCTCCCTTTATATAAACGTTGTATTAACGTTCTTGCTTGGTTAACTTATAAGAAGTTATTCACACGTTCAATTCTCCCATTATATAAACGTTCTCTTAATGTTTTTCTAAGATAATGAAAAACGTTTCATTCATAACAAGGTAGCCTATATAATAGGCCTATAGAACCTAAAACAAGAACTTTCAGATTTTAAAATTAAGACAAAAATAAATAAAAAAGACCCATGAATCATGTCTATAATATGTGTAATGTAGTCCACTGAAGTCGAGTTGAATTGAACCCAAGTAGGCCTATAGTTTATTCCAATAAACCGATTTGGGTTGAAGTGACCATATGAAATTAACATGAACATAAACTTGGAAATTGTTGTAAAAATGAGCTATATAAATTAAATTAACTTTAACTTGTGGATGTCATTGGTTGTTTTTGGTCATAATCCTTGTCCTTGTGTTCCCATTGTCTCTTGTCTAGCTTTGTTCCCTGTACCATTGTTGGTGATTCTATGTTTAGTCCAAGTTTATGTTCATGTTAATTTCATATGGTCACTTCAACCCAAATCGGTTTACTGGAATAAACTATAGGCCTACTTGGGTTCAATTCAACTCGACTTCAGTGGACTACATTACACATATTATAGACATGATTCATGGGTCTTTTTTTATTTATTTTAGGTTCTTCATATAGGCTAGGCCTATTATATAGGCTACCTTGTTATATAAAAAACATTAAGAAAGGTTTTAATAATTATTAAAACATTTCTTAATGTTTTTTTTATTGAATGAAACGTTTTTCATTATCTTAGAAAAACATTAAGAGAAGGTTTATATAATGGGAGAATTGAACGTTTGAATAACGTTCTTATAACATAAAGGGAGAATTGAACGTTCTAACGTTATTATAACCAGGAAATAACATTAATACAACGTTTACATAACGGGAGAATTGAACTTTCTTATAACCAAGAAATAACGTTAATACAACGTCTAAAAAACTGGACTTTTTGAAATTCCCTAGAACATTCAGAAATAACGTTTTTATAACTTAATGGGAACGTTATGAAAACGTTCTTATAACCTAAAATTGTTAGCTGCGGGGAAGAGGAGCGATTCGCGATTGCACTGAACACGTTTTAAGTGCAGGCATATTCTCTGAGCGAGGCAGCGAGCCCACTCAGCCCAGAGAGAGAATTCTTACAAGAGAAGTGTATCTGAGAGCGCGTGCCCAGTTCCCGCGCGCGAGCAGAGAGATTCACGCTCGGCACATCATATTCCGCGCGCGAGCAGAGAGATTCACGCTCGGCACATCATATTCCGCGCGCGAGCAGAGAGATTCACGCTCGCGCATAATATTAATGTACTTTCGCGCTACAATAATGCGCTCTCGACATTGGACAGGATAATAACGCCATAGAGACATGACACAAGTGCTGAGAAACCAAAAGCATTATGGGTACATCGTGGGTTAGTTTCATAAGTGTGCCGGAAGAGACACTGAGGAGGACTGTGAGTCTGTCATTCACGAGCTTTACAATGACCAGATCTGCATTGCGCAATTTCAAAAGAAATGAGCGTCTGTGATGCTACGATTCACGGGTCTGGCTGCACGTCCCCTGGCCTGCTCCTGGAAGAGGAATCCTCTGTCTACTAAACAACACGAGTCCCATTGCAAACCCTGGTGGCATCAGCGCGCGCGCCCCCATGCCAGCTGCGCAGTTTCTCCGGAGCGCGCATGGCATCACCTGCGCAGACCGTCTGCGCAATACAGACGCTACAGTAAAGATGCAGGCAGGGACTCTGAGGACAGTGAGCATCCTGGCATCACAGTGGTGGGGAGCCCGGATCCCATCACGTGGATCAGGAATAAGTGCATCTTGTTTTTAATTGAACTGTATTTTGGCTTGAAGTTCAGTGTGGAGTTTGACAGCGGTGTGAAACAGGTTGGTCAAAAGTGTCTAATGAGGGAAAAATCCTTAAAATCTTACTCTTACACACAGACAAGGTTTAAGATAGTCTCAGACTAAAATGCATGCATGTTTGAGTGGTTTTAACTGAAAACAACTTGCACTTATATCTTAAAATATGTCAGTGCCATTGTTTTGTCTCAAGATGCACACCAGTAATGTCTTTTTTTCTAAGGCAAGTTTATAAAAGCTACTTAATTGTCCTAATTGAACTAAGGCCTAATCCTGTCTTAATCTAAGCCCTGTCTTTGAAACCAGGCCAAAAAGTCTAATGCAAGGTTATTATAGTTAAAGTTAACTAACTCTAAAAAAAAAAAAGTCACTTAATTAAAAAAAAAAACATTAACTGAAATAAAATTAAAACATATTTTTTAAAATACATAAAAAAACAATTTAACTTAATGTACTAAATAAAATAACTCAAAAAAATTTTTTTTTAGAAAAATACAACAAAATTACTTAAACTTTAACTAAAATTACAAATATAAAAATAAAACTATTTTATTTCGGCTAGTTGCCAAGGCAAGATTTCTCATATTTATTTATTTAACTTTTAAAAACAATAAAATAAACAATAACTATGACACTTGAAATTAAACCAGTAATTAAAATCTAATTTAAATTAGAATATTAATAAAAATAATAATAGTATCTCCATGATACTAAAATAACACAGATAATGGAGTTAGAGAGCATTTGGCCAAAAAACAACAACAACATAAATAATGCTATTTAATGACAGTAAATGACATCTCAGAGCAAATTTTTTTTTTTAGAAATTAAATGTACACTTTATTTGGTAACACTCTATTTTACAGTGTCCTCGTTACATATGTTACATGTAATTACCGTAGTAATAACAGTAAATGATGCATAATTACATGCAACTAACCCCCTATAGTAAGTACATGTAGTTAATTAATATTACTCAGTACTTAAATATATAATCACACTGTAACAATGACACCTTAAAATAAAGTGTAACCCTTTATTTTAAGATGTCCATGTTACAGTGTAATTATACATGTACGTTCTGAGTAATAATAATCAACATGTACTTACTTTAAGGTTAGGGTTTTAGTTGCATGTAATTATTCATAATTTACAGTAGTTAACTTACTACATGTAACAATGCCGCTGTAAAATGAAGTGTTGCCACACGATACTGATGTGTTTATGAATAAGTGAGTATATTGTGATGACCTGTGTCCGCAGGCGGTGGTGCACGTGTCCGCTCTGCTGTCCACTGGCAGGTTTGAGGAGCTGAGAACTGTGATGTCCAGAAAGGTTCGTTCATCACTTATATATAAATGACTGATTTGCCAAACATCTTAAAGGGGTGGTATAATGCCCCTTCACAACATGTAAAATAAGTATTTGATGCCCCCAGAGTGTGTATGTGAAGTTTTAGCTCAAAATACACCACAGATATTTCAATATAGCATGTTAAAATTGTCACTTTTTGAGGGTTAGCAAAAACGCAGTTTTTGTGTGTGTCCCTTTAAATGCAAATGAGCTGCTGCTCCCGGCACAGTGGGCGGAGCTTCAAGAGCTCATGTCCTTGGCTTTTACCTCGCACACACATGCACTGAAAATTTCAAAAACTTTTGGCCTTTTATGTTTAAACCGGAGTCAGACAAAGATGGAGAGGCTTAAGAAGAAGTGACAACATGTAGAATGCAAGTTATGTAACTGGATATTTCTGAATGGTTAGTTGAAGAATTTATGCAGCTAGTTAACTTAACTATCTTCTAGTCATTGATTAGCATATTCTGTCCATAGATATCCATAATAAAGGCTAGATGTCTTACGGCGGAGGTCATCACCGGCGGCCATCTTGTCACAGGCAAGCTTTCTGGCGGGCTCTGTGGTGCCTGATGTAAGATGAGTGATCAGCACGAACACAAATACTCTTATCTCGTTGAAATCTTGACGGATTTACAAACGGTTTGGTTTCTTACAAACGTTATTAACGTGGCTATAATTCTGGATGATTATTTATTTATACACTTATTATTCATAAGTATGCAGTGTCATAACTACATCTCTGACGTTTATAACAAACCAAACCGTTTGAAAATCGGTAGAAAATTGAGCAAGTTATGGTTATTTAAAAAGTACATGCACCATTAAAACACAATGTTACGAGTGAGCGAGCTGCCTGTGACAAGATGGCCGCCAGGTGCGGACGTCGACCTCCATTGGCCAGCAGCGCGGACGAGACATCTAGCCTTTATTATGGATATCTATGATTCTGTCATGATAATCTATAAATCGTGTTCCAGGGGCGGGCTTTATGTAAATTTTAGGGTTGGTGATGTCACTAACCCTGGAGGAATGTCATTGTAGTTCCTTCCAAGCCGTTAGTTGTAGTCCTTAAAAAACTATTTCTTTAAAAGCAAATATCTCCCTTTGCTTTGAACTTTGAGCGTTGTAACTTTGCAGATGTTGTTTGCGCTCAAACAGCAACTTTACACACTTGCTAAAGTTAGAAAAGTGAAATCATAATCAACCACCACTTTAAGTCATGTAAGGCCTATAAACCATGTTTTGTCTTGTGTACAGGCTATTGAAAGTGTCAGAAAGAAATGTACAAGTCTGTCAGAGGCCCAAAAAAGACATCTTGCAATTTCCCTTGATGACATGATATTTCTGCTGCCTGAGGACGTTTCCATATTCTTCGACCAAACCGGTGAGTCTTACTCTCTTCATTCGTCTCGTTAAAAATGATGAATATGTATGTTGTAACTTTCTATAAACGAGTCTAGCAGACTTTCAGAAATATGCACTGATTAAAGAAAATGAAAATGAACAGGATGGAATTATAGATTAAAACCGAACCATTTGAGAATATAAAAGTTCAAATTTTTTAAATGATTATTTTGATGCTTGAAGTATTTGACTCGATATTGATGTTTTTTTTTTTTTTGTAATTCTGTCAGACAAGATTGAATGAATCAGAGTGACACAAACCAACTGATATAAATATAAAATCCATTGCTAATACTTACTGAAGTTTGTGCTGTTGCTTTCCCTCCAAAGTGATGTCACTTCCTGGAGGATGATGATGTCATTAAGAACTGGCCTTTGAAAAATGAACATGAGGGAAAGTGATATTTGGGAAACAAATTAAAAAAGAATTGTTCACAGATTAAAACAATATTAACAATAACACCTTTTGTTTGAATTATTTGATTTAAAAAAAAATTTGTTAGATGTTAGTAGTAAAATAATTAAAAATTCACCCATGCATCATTTAATTATGATACTGTGTTTCCCAATATATTAACATATATATAGACATGAAAATGCAAAGCAAGGCTGAGGGAAACATTGAGCGAAAATAAATAAGAATGGTAAAATTTCAAAGTCTATTATAATTATATGAAATAATTAACTTCAGCTATTTACAAATAATATTTTTATTTTAAAATATGCACAAATTCACTCTTATTCGTATATCTAATATGTAATAAAGGCAAAACGCTTCTAATCACATTCAGTTGTGAATTACATGAATCATGTAAATAATAGCATATTTTCAATTCAAAACGGTGACATTTCATAAAAAAGTTGAGTGGTTTGCATCACTGGATATTTCTGTCGTAAAACAGCTGTCGACTATTAAATGTTAAGCTACTTTTTCACTGTTAAAAGTAAAACTAAAGCATTGCATTGGAGTTCGGACTCGAAACAAACTTTGTTGCATTATTTTCCTGTTATCTCTGTAAAGCTGCTTTGAAACACTGTATTGTAAAAAGCGCTATATAAAAAAGCTGACTTGACTCTCTTCTGTGAACAGCAAGCCCCGCCTTCTTTGATCTGATTGGCCACCTCAGTGACTTTGACATGCGCTGTTAGACCGCTGACACAGAACAGCCTATAATGTAACTTTTAAAACTTTTTGTCATCCTAACAACAAAGTGCAGCAGAGCAGCATCAAGATTATGAAATATTTGTCAATGTTGGTGCCGGCGAATGACCCGGTCCTCAGGCTGACCCTGATGGACGAGTCAGACCGTGGAGTTGAACACCTCTGGTTCTCCTATAGGCAGTAAGTTTGTTTACATCACGATGAGGCTTTGGTACCTGTCCAGCGCAGACGTCCCCGAGGACCCCGAGAGCACACGAATCTTCAAGATGGATTTAACTGGAGAAGATGGCCCTCAAAAAAAGATCATCACAGCTGTGTACGAGTAAGTGCGGCGTGCCAGAACGCGTCGAAGAGCTGAATGTTGAGGAAAATAATAAATTATATTTTATAAACATGTTTTTATAAAGCATTTCATTTAATAATATTGTTATATTACTAAAAATAAATTCAAATATTAAAATAAATATTTTATTTATATTTATTTTATAATATATTTGAACATGTTGGTCTAATAAATAGGCTTGATTTTTTCTTTCTGATTTTGGGCTGAAATGTGACCTGGCCTTGTTTTTATAAGATTCACCCTATGTAGATTTCAGATGTCCTTATGTTTACCCTAGTATAAATTTTTTTTTTTAAAACCTATACCAAAATCTTTTTAAAATACATTTATCTCATACTAAGTATACTTCAAAGCCATTAACATATTTATTGACAGTTCACTTAAGACTGAATGATGTAAAATTATAATTAGTGTGTGTTTCTTTATTGCACATTTCTTAATATTATGCCTAAAATGTGTTTTAACATCATCACTATTAATAAGGATTGTACGATCTCTGTATAACATCAGTCTTTAAATGCAATATATTTAAAGTGTACCTAAAGTATACTTGCAATAGTTCCACTTTAGCACAATCAAATACACTTAAGTATATTTTTAGTTGAACTTAATGCACTTTAGTTATCCAGAAATAGTGCTGAAGTAAAACATTTGTAGTTCCAATTTAGCAGACTTTACCAGTTTAGTATACCAAAAGTACAATTGCAGAGTATTTTTATTAAGCACATACATATGTAAATGTATTTTGTGGTATACTTAGCACAAAATAAATGTACTTCAAATACATTTTTTTCACAGCATAATTGCCACCAGCATTCGTTTTCAGTCCAAATACGCATAGATGGAGCGACTGTATGTTTGGCACTCTAGGGTAGATTTCATACACTACTCTTTGAAAGAGTCACACTCAAAACATAATTAGAAGTCAAGCGCTCTTGTAAAGTTGCACCTTGCGTGACAGATTCTCCCCACAGACACAGATCGTTGACGTAAACTGCACACAACCATAAGTCTGACTGATGAATGCCAGCACAGCTTCAAATGATCTTAAATATACTTAATGGATTTCTCCCTTATGACAGACATTTGTTTTCCGCAGTGCTTTGATGGATATATAGATGTTAATAGGTTCGCTCTCAGCTGTTTGCACACTCCTCTTTTTCTCTCGTGTTTCAAAACATCTTTCCATCTGTCACATTAGCACGTTCTACAGAGCTGTCGCTCAGCAAGTGCGGTTTCTAAGTTAACTTTGTGAAAGTGTCATACTTCAGATCGCCCTAGTGTGGGTCTGATGTGACACGTTTTTTTTTTTTTTTTGCACCAAAGAGTTTTTTTTTTTTATCATGGTATATCAAGTTTTCAGATTTTCCATTGAATTACAGCAGGGATGCCATATCAAAATTATGTCAATATTATAAATCTATAACTTGCCTTTTTTCACCACATGATCTTATCAGGTGCAACAACATGGCATTTATTAATAAAATATCCGCTTGTTATAATAGTAATGCACATTTCTATACAGAACATATATTTTTGTAGTTATGCTCTGCTTTAACATATTTCATATGCTAGATATTGCTCGTGTACCGTAAAATTTGCCCACAAGCCATAGATAGAGAGGTCCGATTCGTAAGTGAATCATTCTTCGTGAGTCTATTCAGTCAAAAGGGTTCACAAAATATTCTGGGTCTTAATTTGAATGATTTTTAAAATCCCTATCCTGCATTTCAAAAGCAAAAGCAACAATTTTCTATTCTCTAAAGAAATGTTAACAGCTTATAATGCTGTGTTTGTTGAAGGTTTCATCTCGAGTTGAATGCTGGAGCTGATCCAGATTGGACGGTGACACGGATATGGCACTGGAAGCAACTGGAGTAAAAAAGCGAGACTTTCTGGACAACATCATTGACTTCATCGGACTTGACCTTATTTACACCTTATGTTAACATCCATCTCAGTGGTCAGATGAGACACATCAATGTTTCAAAGCCCAGAGTTTAAAACCCTTGATGTAGGGCACTGGTTGATTGACAGGCGAGTCGGTGGTTCACGAAATCACTGTTCAAATGTGATTCAACATGTTTTAGGCCCCATTTACACCTGTAGCACTGACCACTTGCGATCGAAGACTGACCTCATCTACACCTGGTATTAAGATGAAGAATCACTCAGACCTGTTCTCATGTAGCATCAGTTTATTTAATAAAATAACAGTTCATTCTGCCATGTCATTTTTTTTTTAGTTATGGGATTTGTTTGGTTTGAAAAAATATTAGTATGGCATTATAATTATATTGCATAGATAATGAAACCTATGAAGATGTTCTGCATTTTCTTAACAAATAAGCAAGGTTCACAATCAAATTGACTGTAATGTGGACAACATCGAGTTATTACTGGGATGCAGTGAGAATGATCTGTCTTACTTCTCAATTAAAAATCAGTGTAAATTAAACTCACACAATGGGAATGAGAGGAGATGTGCTTTATTGTCATAAATGTCACAAATCAAAACAGGCTTAGTTTACTTAATGCAAAACATATTTTTTCCTTTTGATTTTGATAACATGATGCATTTGCAAGTTTCCATGAGATTCACCTCCATAAATGTTATTTACAATTAAATGATACATACAATTTAAAATCCAGAAAAAAAACAAGCATCCGTTTTGAATGATTTTTAGTCGATATTGTGAGCTTGTTACAGCGAGTTTTTCCAAAATATTTCTGTGTCAAATCTAATCTAAGTCTAATGCACTTCCATTACAAGCAGCGATTATAAAACATTATAAAAAGTCACTTTCAGATCAAGCATGCCACAAATGAAGATTTCCAACAAGATAAACAGCCCTAATTAATTATGATATTTGATACGTTCAGATCGCACAGAACCACAGATGGTTGTTGAGACTAATTATCACCTAATTTAGATATTAAAATAAATCCTTTGTTAAACTGACAGAAAGATGTTCTCACCCATGCGTGGATGTCATCCTATTTCTCTTTTATGGCATGTCATTGTTTATGCATTCATGGCTTTACAGGGAGTCATCGAATTATCATTGACTGAAATTCATTAAATCATTTAGAAATATGGCTTTGGGATTATTATAATTTTTGTAGGCAGAAATGGATTGTTCTGTTCAACTTGCGTGGGTGTTTTGTCACATGTGTGCAAACAAGTCATAATATGATTAACAGTGGATATCATACCTCCTGTTTCAATTGAAATAAATATGTTAATACCATATTAGGCAATTAATCACGCTGGCTTCAACTACATGTGAACTGAACAAAAGAAAATAAAAGCATTAATGTGCTTTACAAAGCTATTTTGCACTCCTCTAGGCTTTTATCATGGATTAGGGACTGTGCTGGTATTATTAATCAGTTTGTTGTACTGAACATTAACTCATATTTCTGATGTATGCGTTATATTGATGTTGCCAAATAAGGCTGATGAATTCATCTCTCTGTCTACTGTATATTTGCTTATGCAATTAAAGTCGACATGAAATGCAGCTCACAACGCATTTTCCTTCTGCAATCTGATGCATTTCCATGTGATAGTCAACATGTCAGGACCTGACTTTACAGAATGCATTGGATTGTGAAAAGGAGCAGGACATGTATTAATTAGTAAAGAGGTTCCAGTTGACTTTAACATAAAGATTGAGATTTACTAGTCCAAGAGATGAATAGGTGAATACTGATGTGTAGGTGGAAAATAACCATCATTATTCATAACAGATAACAACACATTATCAGCTGTGTGTGATAAAGTCCTTTAGGAGAAAATGGTAATTGACAGCAATCTAAATGCAGCGTATGTCCTCTAAGTAAACTCAATGTTATCCTGGGAGGCAAAAATTCATTACTAAGCTGAGCTATTATTACGCTACATTGAGAGCACTTCTTATTGCAGTCAGGCCCGTTGCAGCACTTTGCTTCATTTGACAAGAGACTAAATTAAACAAATAACATGGCTGAAATTACCGCTGACCCAATAATGGATCTGAACTAATAAAATACTGCAGTTGTGGAAGTCATGAGGGTCTGAACCCACTTCAAATTAAACACTGGAGTAGTAATTATTACTAGTTTAATGTGTCCACACTGATTGTTGTTCAAACTTTTCCAGTTGCAGTTTCTGCATTCATCACAATACTGAAGTGATCTCTTGAAAGGCACTTGAAACTTTAAAAGCACACTGCTCTTACTTGTCATTTTTTTCAACGCTACTTTTTCTCCTAAATGGTCTGAACAAAGGCAAATTTTGGATTATAGTGTCACAAAGCCTTGCTCGTTTGTTTCACATTTAATTTGCACTGTGAAATTGAACCAAGTTAAAGAGGCCGCCATATTATGCCTTTTCACAAAGTCTTGCTTTTGTTTTCAGGCTCTACTAGAACAGGTTTTCCTGCTTGAATGTTGATTATTCTCCTCATATTCTCCATTGTTGCGGCTCCTCTCTTCCCAGTCTGTCAGTAACGCTCTGTCTCCTTCCTGTCTCTATGAAGCCCCTCCTTCTGAAAGCACACTGTGCTCTGATTGGTCGGCTGGAGCAGTGTGTTGTGATTGGTCGAGTGTGTTTGGGAAATGTCCCGCCCCTTACCATAACCGCCAGTTTAACACACTACTAACTAACTCGACCAGGCCCCGCCCCTTTATTCTGCGTATTCATTATTTAAATGAGGAATATTGTGACGTGTTCGTTCCTGGAAGAAACTCAAGACTACAATGGAGGCGTTTCAGGAGTTCAGAAACACTCACGCTTTTCATGCTCAAACAGCATCATTACACACTAAAGAGAGTCGAACATGTAAAAAAGCCTAATAGGTCCTCTTTAAGGATCATTCATTTGAATGCAAATCAACAGTGCATTATAAATAAATAAACAAGCCCCTGCTTAAGGACACTTGAAATACTTTAATTAGCCTGTAGTTCACTGAGAACATTTCGAAAGCTCTCCACACAAACGTCACCAACAGGATCTCTCATGGACGCCAACTTCCAGGCCTCCTCAAATGTCTCCTCCGCAACGTTGAGACCCACTTTTTGGAAAATCTCTGCAATCTATATGATAAGCAATATACCTTTGATGAATGTGTTGATATTAACCTGTTTGTAATCATTGTTTGGCATTGTAGACCCCCTTTAAATCATAATGTAACATGGCAGCGCTCTAAAACTCACCTGGTCTTTAGTGCGAGGGCTTAAAAACTCTTCTTCATGGACTCCGTAGAGGGAATGCAGAGGGGGGTGCAGCAGATCACGTGCTGTCGATTCGTCTCCGTAGTTCGTCCGGTCACCGATGCGTTTGATACGAGGAGCGGGTAGATCGGTCCGTACTGATGGTACTCCGTATATATGATAATCTATTCACGGGAAGCAATCAGAAGAAAACTAGTACAAGACTACGTTAACTTTCCTTTTCTAGTTGTACAATTTTAACCCTGTAAAGCTTGACAGATCAAATAATAGCCAGAAACATCTCGTTTTCTTAAATCGAAGAGTTAAATTGAACCTTTAGACTAAAGTTGTGTATCATATTTGATACATCAGGCTTTTATGGTTATGATATAATGAGAATATGGAGCTTATACTCGAGAATGGGAAAAAAAGCCCAAAAAGATGTAATTTGGTGCAGATGCTGATATTTATATGGCCAAAAGTAAGATGAATGTAAATCAATGAGATCTTTTTAACAGAATAGCAGACTACTGACATAAAATACATATAAATATCAGTTGTATCAATAATATTTCTTAGTAAGATTATATTTAAATGCTTTAAATGCTAGTTTTAAAACATATATACAATGCAATACAATGACGATGGAGAGATAAACAAATAAACGCTCATCAAAAGCCTGATGGATCATTTTTTATTAATATGATTTGAAAAAAAATACCATATAATCAAGTAAACCTCAGTTGCTTCAGTCCAGTGTGTTCACCTTCAAATATGACTAACAATATAAAAGTTATTCTTAGATTTCACAGCAAACTGACACAAAGATGGACGTTTTTATAATTATACTAAAAGTCCTTTTTACTTGCTAAAGGTGACAGAAGGCATGTAGTAGATTGTGTGCAACAGGTTTTATTAGCAAATTGTTGATTATTTAAGGTTATTTATTTATTGATTATTTATTTATAAATGTAGGCTTTATGGGATTAACCAAGATAATCTTGATTATGCCCTGAAAAAAAGCCTGGAGGTTATATAGGCTTTGTGTAGTTTGAATACTTTTTAAAGGCATTCGAAGGTTCAGTGTGAGACTTACCGGCAGGGGAAGAACCCCCTACGACAGCATTGATGAGAGAGGACGAGGTGATGAAGCGGTCCTGCACACTTCTGGGTCTGGACAGGGTTTTTGGGGTCTTCCTGGTGTTTCCCAGCTCAACAGCTTCCAGATCTTCAGGTCTGATCAGAGGCTTGATGGCGCCGGCTGTCTGGAGGTCGGCTCGCTGCATGTTGGCCGGGGCTGACCAGGCCATGCGCTCTGAAAGATACAAGCCATATTAATATCTGACGCATGCCTTTACATCAGTTTTAGGGGACATTTACACGGAACAAGTTTTTCCTTTCCTACGTTTCCATTGTTTTTCAATGTAAACACACACTAGACGGACGTCTTGGGTTCGCGTCTCGCATCCCATTACATGGGATTATAAAAATGCGGCACTCAAGTTAAAAAAGTTCCTTTTTTCTTTTTTATATATGCATCTCTAGACCTTTTTCACTTTTATTTTCGTTCCACTGACCTGCGTTTCACATTTTTAACAGCAAAAACGTGTTGTTTGTGAACCAGCCCTCAGTTTCAACAGTTTCGTTGTCTCCTTTAAATATTTAAACCAGTTACCTCAGAGAGGAATCACATCACAACATTATATAAAACAAACAAATCATAAAAACACAAAAAGATACAAGATTGTGTACTTGAAGTGCAGGGCAAGTTACTCTAAAAAGAGTAATACTAGCTACTGATTACATCTTCAATAGTGTATTATATTACTGTAATTACTCTTTAAATAGTATTGCATTACTTATTACTTTCTAAATTCCATATCAACCTCTACCAATTAAACAATACAGGAATAGAAATGAAACTGCTCTTTTAATTCATTCAATTAAATCAAAACTAAATAAATTATTCTTGAGTTGACCAAAGTATTAAGTTTACATTAAAAATAAAAATTTTAAAGCCCCGCTGTGGTGAAAATCCAGTTTTTAATGTTGTTTATATGTCTATGTGGTGTTTTTAATATGCTTTAAGACACATCATGTGTAAGTTCATAAGTCGACAGCATTGCTGAGTATTTTCTGCTTAAAACTGCAGTGAACCAAAGACAGTCTCAAAAAGACGGTTTGAAATCTCTGGTGTTTCTGACGTCACAAACGAGCTTGTAACCAATCAGATCAACGTGTGATCGTCAACCAGTGGATCTCTGAGTGAGTGAGTGAGTGGAGGCGGGGCTCATTTGCATATTCATAGAACCGCGCATACTAAATGAGGCAAGGGTGTCGAGTTACATTCAAGATATTTTAAGGCATGAAAAAAACGTTTAAATATGTAACTTTGGTGATCAAAGATGAGTTTTAAGGGATACAAATTGACTACAGGGGGATGGTAAATTTCGATGTTAAATCCACTATTGTTTTATACTGAATTGTTCTCTAGTCAATACAGTATTTAGTGCAATTACATCAGAATTAACTGTCCTTTACCTTGTAAATAAATGACACTAATTAATTACTTAGTAATAATGCATTATTACACATTAACACTGGTCATGAGCAAGAGCGCTTGAATTCACCTCCTGTGAGGATTTTCTGCTCCACCCTGTTGATTGGCATTTTGTCTTTCCAGTTGAGAAAATTGGAGAACTCCATGAAATCGATCAGTCCGTCTTTATCAGCATCACAGTAATCCATGAGCTCATCGAGCACCGGGTCACTGATGATCATGTTAAACTGCTGGCAAACATCCTTCAGATCCTCCTTATCGATTTTCCCTTGACCCTTCTGCAGCACGAGACAAAGAAAACTGGTAACATGCTGAATGAATACCTTTATAATGCATTATACACAGAGGCTTCAAGTGAAGTGCTTTTCAGGACGCTTTTCTTAAAGGGATAGTTCACCCAAAAATCAAAACTCTGTCAGTAATGACTCTCCCTCATGTTGTTCAACCCCGTAAGACTTTCGTTCATCTTCAGAACACAAATTAAGATATTTTTTATTAAATCTGAGAGCTGGATCACTCCTCCATAGGCTTCTATGGGATCGAAACTGGCCAGCCCAGAAAAGTTATTAAAGACATCTTTAAAATAGTCCGAGTGACTACAGTGGCTCAACCTTAAGTTTATCAAGCGACGAGAATACTTTTTGTGCGCAAAAAACAAACAAAAATAACGACTTTATTCAACTAATCATTTCCTTCTCTGTGGGGCTCGAGCGAGTTCACGTAGTGATATTGCGCAATGCTTCTGTGTTGTACGTCACACCAGGGGCGTAGCCATCATTTCAAAAGTGAGGGGGACAGAATGTCAAGTGTAATCACATTTTTTTTTTCAGAATTTTGTTGACAGGTTAATTGGCTTAATATGCTATTTATTTTTAAAGCAATAAAACAGAAAGAAAGAAATGCAGATGTTCAGTACTTTATATTGCACATGCAGGGTTTTTCCTGGCGAGGCGGAGGTGGTAAAATCCTGATCATGTATTTTAATTAGATAATAACATTTTTATTTTTCGTAGACCATCATATAGCCTGTGTTTCCCACAGTATTTTTGTAGGTGGATCTCGGTACTTCTAGGGGGGTTCGGGGGCATGCCCCCCCGTAAGAAAATTTTGTACATTTTAAAGATAAATTCATTAATCTTGAGTCCCCCGAATCCACTGTTAAAAATAAATAATCCACCCGTCAACCGCCCAAACATATGATATTCTCTGATTTAGATCTGATCATCGCATTACAATTATTCAAATTATCAGTGTTACTGTTAAGCATGATAATATGGTTAAATATCACACTGAATCACACATTTACTTAAAATAAAAGTTCTTCTTTTGGCAAAATAACATTTCCTTAATAGCCTAAAGTCTGTCTTACTAAACTAAAACTTTCCAATTGAAAACCTTCAAACATCAAGCTTTTAAAAATACTTCAAACTTTCTAGTTAGGCTTTTTCAAGAGAACTTAAAGTTTGTCTACAAACTTTATCTAATTGTAAAGTGTTACCGAATTATGGTGAACATCATAGTCTAAACATGTTACTGCCTGATTCAAGCAGATCGTGGCTGTTAATGCATGAACATACAAATTCAGCATTAACAATCACCATGTTTATTCTAATTTGAAGGGCTTTGATAACATATCTGTGAAAATAAAAGACATTACGAATAAAAAAAGATTGAAAATAGTGCACGTTTGTGCGGGTATAGTGAATATTTTCAATTTACAACAAAACTTGTTAATTATTCAACAAGAGAAATAGGCAGAGTTATTCATCATTGTGCAACACAATTCGGATACCACATGACAACTTACTTATACAGTGCTTGACTTTTTCGTGAAAAAGGAGTGAAGAGGTTTTTTTGCCGTTTTGAACTCTATGAAACTGATGGATTCGGCGCGGGTGCGAGCATGGGCGTGTCGTAAGCTAATGCACGAGTGACTGATTATTACCATGGAAGCGTGAAAGTCACGTATGTAGATAGACTATCCTTGACTCTTTGGATTTTAAATCTCGATGTAGGGCAGGCTATACACACACCCGCGAAAACCTCAGCTTGTCATAGACACATTTGCCCTATGAAAAAGTGCGAGGGACGAATTTACATTTTATAAAAAGTGGGGGGGGGGGGACACGTAATCTACGCCCATGTGTCACACGCATCACACACATGACCAGCGTCGGCCAATAGTGAGCCTACGTGTGACGTGCAACAGAAGCTTTGCGCAATATACTACGTGATAATAATAATAAATTCAACTACGTGAAATCTCGAGGCCCACAGAGAAGGAAATGAATAGTTGAATAAAGTCTTTATTTTTGTTTGTTTTTTGCGCACAAAAAGTATTCTCGCCGCTTGATAAACTTAAGGTTGATCCACTGTAGTCACTCGGACTATTTTAACGATGTCTTTCATAACTTTTCTGGGCCGGCCAGTTTCAATCCCATAGAAGCCTATGGAGGAGTGAGACAGCTCTCAGATTTAATCAAAAATATCTTAATTTGTGTCCCGAAGATGAACGAAAGTCTTACGGGGTTGGAACAACATGAGGGCGAGTAATTACTGACAGAGTTTTCATTTTTGGGTGAACTATCCCTTTAAGAAACGAATGGTTAATACAACAGCTTCTGACCTTGTCGTAGTATCTGAATGCTTTAAGTAATGAGCTGAAGTTCTGGTAGTTGGACTTCTTGAGATGCTGGCGAACAGCGCTGACCAGCGATCGCTGTCTGTCTTTACCTTTCAGGTACTTTCCAGGTGGAGTTTGATGCAGAAGATCTCCTACACCTGAGGAAAAACAAGAAGAACTACTGTATAGATGGATGAGTCTCTCGAAACCGGTCAAGAACATACAGTCAAACCAAACATTATTCAGACACCATATTTTAATTTTTATATTTTTTTTTACTAGTGGGGGCAGGAGGACACTATAGTTCATTTATGCAAAAAAAAGTCAACTGTGATATATTATACACAAAAATTCTTCATACAGTGACTACCAGTAAAATTTATAAAAATGTGGGACCAAAAATTATTCTGATTATTTGACCTGATCATGTTTTCAAGTGTGTTTTCTGTAATTGCTAATGCTCTTTTACACACAGACTGAACAACATGAAGCATTGCTTGGTCACTGGTTGAGCTAAACTGGTATTATCTAATTGTGTAGTTAAATTTAACAGCTGACAGATATTCAACATAATTCATGTGTGAGAGTCTAACAGAAGGACGGACTAAACCAGTGAAATATCAACTGATTTAATAACTCTGACTTCTTGTCGTATTTTATTACCATTTTCTAAACTAAAGCGAATAAACTGTGATAATGTGAGAAATGTAGAAAGTGTCTGAATAAATGTTGGTTTGACTGTACCCGGATCATGTGTAAGCCTCTCAAATGTCCTAAATTTAGGCTTCATTTTCTTTACAACACTATGAATGTTTGTGAGAGATTCATAAAGCGCTCTCTGTTTCGTACCGATTACAGGAATGTCCAAGTTGTAATTCCACAATGATGTATTTCACACACCAAGAAAGAATAAATCATAAATTCTCTACAATACTGGCTGCTAATTTATTTCTGACAGAAATGTGACAGACGATTCAAATTACCAAAGCTGTCAGGTTTCATCAAGACTCCGAATGTGTGATCACTGGGAACGTTTAATGTCTCCGCAATTCTATAAATTAATGCACAGACAGAAAAGATGATTTACACAGTGGCAGAAACTGTGAAAATGTCATTAGTATTTAACAAAACTGCTCTTAATCATGACTTACGGATCATGAACTTTGCCTGTTTGTGGCTGAGTCTTCTCTCTGAAGTCGTCGCAGCGCTTCGAAGATAATTTTGCGCTGTTGTGCCTTAAGACATGAAGATTAATTAATTGTTCATTTCTGATAATGTTGTCATATTAGTTTGTCATTTAGAGCTTATTTAGAAATTTTCAAATGAAATATGATTTGCCATTATAAACTGAATATTCATTCATAATAGCTGTCACAATAGTAAAACTGTCAACCCTGTTACCTTTCTGGAGGCATAGTTATATCCCAAAATACAGTAGTCAACATTTAAAGTGGATCAAAACCTTTCATCAAAGTTATACATGATTTTTGAACAATACCCGTTCTTGTCTCTGACAACTTTGATCAACTTAAAATGTTGACTGTATATTGATTTAGGTAATGGGAATGCAATTAATCTCTGGTTTTCTTTACTTGGATCTCTCTCTCTCTCTCTGTTAATGTGCATGTGTATGTACAGTACTATACAAGTTTACATTAGTGTGTCACTGGGCCAGTGGAGAGATTTGGAGGTGTTTCTCCCATCATTGTGATGAGGCGTCGGGACACCAAACCTACTTTCTCTCCCATAGCGACTCCAATTGTACTTTCTGTCCAAACGCTCACCTGCAAAACATGCAATCTATTATCGTTTTCTGAGGCAATGGTAAAATGAGCACAAGAATTCAGTTTGAAACCAACTAAAATGCAAAGTTATAGACCTTAGTCAGGGTAGAGCTGTATTTAATTTTTGAAGGCTACAGGATGTTCAATGGTTTGGACTGTTTTTTAAGGGGTGGTAAAATGCCTTTTTCACAAGATGTAAAATAAGTATTTGATGTCCCCAGAGTGTGTATGTGAAGTTTTAGCTAAAAAAAAAACCCCCACAGATATTTCTATATAGCATAATTTTTTTAGGGTGAGCAAAAACACGCTGTTTTTGTGTCTGTCCCTTTAAATGCAAATGAGCTGCTGCTCTCAGCACAGGGGGGCGGAGCTTCAACAGCTTGTGTCCTTTTACCTCACACACACATGCACTGAAAATGTCAATGTTTATGTTCAAACGGAGTCAGACAATAATGGAGAGACTCAAGAAGTGACAACATGTAGAAACAACAGGACATTTCTGAGTGGTTAGTTGATGAGTTTATGTAACTTATGTGTAGTTATCTTCTAGTCATTGATTAGCATATTCTGTCTTGATAATCTATAAATTGTGTTCAGGGGGCGGGGTTTATGTACATTCTAGGGTTAGTGATGTCACTACTAACCCTGGAGGAATATGGTGTAGTCCCTACCAGCCGTTTGTTGTAGTCCTTAAATAAATATATCTTTAAAAGCAAAAAGAGCTTCGTAACTTTGCAGATGTTGTTTATGCTCAAACAGCAACATTACACACCAACAAAAGTTAGAAAAGTGAAATCATATTCAACCACCCCTTTAACAACATACACTGTTCAGCTGCGTCGTTCTGAAAATAAACTTTCAGTAGACAGAAACAGTTGCGAGTTGTGAAATTGACATGATCTAGGACCTTTATACTGTGTGTGCCACTGTAAAGACTGTAAGTCTATCCATCACAGCCATGTTTTCGTCCGCATTAGGTTACACTTTATTTTGATGGTTCCCTAACAGACATTTTTAGACTATAAGTAACTTTGCAACAAGCTCTCATTAGAGTATTAGTAGACTGTTAGGGTTCCGGTTAGTAGAATAAGTTGACATGTAGTTGTAAAGTTACTGATAGTCAGTAGAATATCTGTTGAGGAGCATCAAAATAAAGTGTTATTAAGCACTAATACTCTAATGACTGATAGTTGACATGGAGTTACTTATATTCAACAGAATGTCTAAAGGGGACCATCAAAATAATGTGTTAACCTGCATTAAATTCAGTGGCGTCTAACCTAACTAAGGTCCATAAACCTAAATAAAGACTGAGACCCATAAATGGGCTGCAATCTGACTGACCTACTGAATATGAGCCGTGTGAGCGGATGTAGAGCCGATGTCCCTCGTCCGCTTCCTTCTGCACCTGCTGTGCGCTTTTAGGTGGATTGATCACCTCACCACCATTAGAAACTGCATTTAAAAGAATTCACACATTTTCTTAAAAACATATATAGCCGCCCTATACACTCACCTAAAGGATTATTAGGAACAATTATCTAATGAACCAATCACATGGCAGTTGCTTCAATGCATTTAGGGGTGTGGTCCTGGCCAAGACAATCTCCTGAACTCCAAACTGAATGTCAGAATGGGAAAGAAAGGTGATTTAAGCAATTTTGAGCGTGGCATGGTTGTTGGTGCCAGACGGGCCGGTCTGAGTATTTTACAATCTGCTCAGTTACTGGGATTTTCACGCACAACCATTTCTAGGGTTTACAAAGTATGGTGTGAAAAGGGAAAAACATCCAGTATGCGGCAGTCCTGTGGGCGAAAATGCCTTGTTGATGCTAGAGGTCAGAGGAGAATGGGCCGACTGATTCAAGCTGATAGAAGAGCAACTTTGACTGAAATAACCACTCGTTACAACCGAGGTATGCAGCAAAGCATTTGTGAAGCCACAACACGCACAACCTTGAGGCGGATGGGCTACAACAGCAGAAGACCCCACCGGGTACCACTCATCTCCACTACAAATAGGAAAAAGAGGCGACAATTTGCAAGAGCTCACCAAAATTGGACAGTTGAAGACTGGAAAAATGTTGCCTGGTCTGATGAGTCTCGATTTCTGTTGAGACATTCAGATGGTAGAGTCAGAATTTGGCATAAACAGAATGAGAACATGGATCCATCATGCCTTGTTACCACTGTGCAGGCTGGTGGTGGTGGTGTAATGGTGTGAGGGATGTTTTCTTGGCACACTTTAGGCCCCTTAGTGCCAATTGGGCATCGTTTAAATGCCACGGCCTACCTGAGCATTGTTTCTGACCATGTCCATCCCTTTATGGCCACCATGTACCCATCCTCTGATGGCTACTTCCAGCAGGATAATGCACCATGTCACAAAGCTCGAATCATTTCAAATTGGTTTCTTGAACATGACAATGAGTTCACTGTACTAAAATGGCCCCCACAGTCACCAGATCTCAACCCAATAGAGCATCTTTGGGATGTGGTGGAACGGGAGCTTCGTGCCCTGGATGTGCATCCCACAAATCTCCATCAACTGCAAGATGCTATCCTATCAATATGGGCCAACATTTCTAAAGAATGCTTTCAGCACCTTGTTGAATCAATGCCACGTAGAATTAAGGCAGTTCTGAAGGCGAAAGGGGGTCAAACACAGTATTAGTATGGGGTTCCTAATAATCATTTAGGTGAGTGTATTATTGAGTCAATTCATGAGCATGCTACTGAAGTTTCACTATAGTTGTGTCCCAAATGACGCACTTATACAATATACACTCAACTGTGCAGTGTATGAATTTTATAAGGCTAATTTGTCAGTCATGGTTTCATTTCCCTTCGCTACATAATTAAAGCATGGACAGCTGAGTGCATGAAGTGTCCAACAGTCCAGACTTTGTTTTTTCGTTTAAATAAGTGCATCATGTTCTACTACTCCTGTATTGAAAGTGTCATTGTCTGCTGGTTTCATTCTATAAGCCTCCAAAATAGAAATAGTCTGTAGCGCTCGGTTAAAGTCTGCTCAAAAACTTTTGGACTCCCCATAAGGGCTCTTTCTATTATAAGTGAACAGCAAATGCTGAGGTTGGCTGGAAGGATTTTGCAAGACACTTCACATGTAATGTTCTCTGTTTTTGAGTGCCTTCCTTCACAGCGACGGCTTCGTTGTCCATGTTTTAGGACACAAAGGAGGAAGGCAACCTTTGTTTCCAAATATGTGCAGCTTTTAAATTCTCCACCATCTCTAGCCCCCTTGTTTATCATGCCTTGATTTTAATTATTATTTAATATATATTAGGTATCCATTAATATGTATTCCGTGCACATTGGATGTTTTTATGTATAATGTTTACGTTACTGTATGTGGCCTCATTAATTGCCCCATGGGGACAAATAAAGTGTTTTGAAATTAAAAAAATTGAAATTATCCTGTTATTTAAAGTGTTCTAATTCTATTTGTAATTTTCAGTGAACACACTACTTGCACTATTTGAACAGTACATAAGTATGCGCATTGGGACGCACAGTGTTACTCTTACACTGGAGCGTTGTGACACCAAAAGCCGTTTTCTCAGGGTCAAGCCAGCTTGGTAAACCAGGGCCTTGAACTTGTGACCTTCCAAGAGGTGCTTTCTGACTGGTGGCATAGGTGATCTCTTGACACTGACGCAGCCTCTCTTGGAAGCGTGTTTTCGGTGCGGGGTTAATCACTGATCCAGCCTAAAAATACAAAACACAAAGATTCTGTTATACTTGCAACAAAGACAGAAATTGTTGATGCACTTTTAATTGCGAGAAGTTGCTTTTCTCTAAACGTTTTTGGGTGAAACACGAATAGACAGTTTGAACATCAAGCAATAAGAACACAGTCACTAGAAGAATTTTTATTTGACATGTCTTACATTAATGGATGATTTGGTCTTCACACCATGGACTAGAGCGCTGGCGATGTCAGGGTCATCTGCTTTTCCATGGAAGACCCGAACTGTGCCGACGGGTGGCCGAGCAGAACTGACAAACTTCCTCACCACAGGTGGAGTTACAGGCTATATAAAAAAAATATTATAAAATGATATAGCCTATATATATATATATAGAAGTATGTGTGTATGTATGTTTGTACGCTTACATGTACACTGGTGCTGGTTGAGGAGAGAACCCCTGATATGATTGTAAAGCACTTTGGGTGTACAGTAGTACATATGAAAGCGCTAACGTTATATAAATGCCTCATTCATTCATTCATTCATGTATGTTTCACTATTAATCTTCTATGAATTACCCACCCTTGGTGTAATTTCCTGCAGACAAGACTTAGTTCTGTCTCCAACTGGAACGAGCTTCCCTGCCTTAAAGTGGAAATGAGCATACTGAGCATTTCGAAATATTTTAAGCATAATTACAGTTGTAAAAGTAAAAGATCAAAACTTATTCTGAGAAATAATTACTCATACCGCGCGGATGGTTGGAAATGTGTCTCTGCGTCTCCGGGTGGACATATTCCGCTCGACGAGACTCATGCCTACAAACTCACAGCTTTATTTACAACCAATTAAGCATTCAAACAAAAAACAACAGCAGTGTTTGTTTACCTTCCGTTACCTGACAACGCTGGAGGAAACTCAGCGTCAACCTGGCAATGACGTGCACCTGTCACAAAATCTCTCTCTAAATTAAGCTGGTTTCTTTGCTATTTTAAAATTAGCCTGTATCTTTCATATACCTACAACAAATACTAAAGTTGCCAGTGCGCTTAAAACAGAAAAAGCTCGTGAATAAATTAATTCTTCTTTTGAAGTAAAACAACAAGTCATTTGTTTTTTAATCATTCATTTTCCATAGGCTTCATAAATACTGAAGATATGAATAAAATACATGACTCTTGCACAAAAAAATAAAATAAAAATTCAGAAGTTAAATTGTTATTATAGATGATTATCCAGAGCCTCCAAAAGTATAAAGTTTAAAGTAAAAAGTATTTGAAAACTTCTAATAATAACAACATATATATATATATATAATTTTTATTACTTTTGTATTTATCAATTATTATAACCATAGACTGTAAAAAATTATAACCCATTGTGTTATGGGAATAACATTTTTGTCAGAAGCGCTGTTGTGATTGGCCAATTTCTCTCCGATACGTCTGACGTCAGATCCAGTCATCCGATCCGTCTTCATCAGTTTTGATGCGAAAGGGGAAGTTGGGAGGAACCGAGAGGAAGGTACGAGTCTTTGGGCTTTAAACATTTGTTCTGTTATAATAATGTACGTCTTTTGGGCTTTGTATTTGAAGTAAACCATACAGTTGTTCCGTTCAACTTTTTAACGGTTTATTTATGAGAGGTCTCGCTCAGCGTTGTGTGTATACGCAGAGCGCTCGGCCTGTTTTTCTCTTAGCATTAGCACTATTAGCTTTCAGGGACCATTTGAACCGGGGCGTCTAAGAAACTGACACCCCCGATAAAGTACGGCTGAGACGGTCGGAACACTATTGTCAGTAAGCTTAGTGGCTGTTCACATGTGTGTAATAGAGAGAAAAAGAGAGAGAGAGATACAATATCATTAGCATAGTTAGCATCACAAGCTAACAGGCAGCTCGAGCTTCATATTATGACACTAAATACATTTTCCATTTGAATAATTCAGTGATTTTATTTGACCATTCCTCTGAAATTGAAGTTACTTACTGACTTGAACAGTAAACACAATATTAGCCGATCAAAGCCTGCTGCGTTTGTTTTGATGAGCCAGATTATGCTACACGTCAAACAAGTCAAGTTATCACCAAAAATGTTTTCTTTTTTCTTTTGAATACGTATCAAATCTAACGTGCGATGTCTATAAATGGCTATTTATCATCGTTTTTTAAGTTAAAAGTCTTTAGAAGCAATCTCAAGTTCTGTCTGATCATGATAGACCTATGTTTTGCACGGTCACTCTGTCTCATGCTTTCTATATTATATAAGATATAAACAGAGTTATAAGTATATATAGCCTAGAATATTAAGAGGTGGTTAACCAGAGAGGCAAAGGGACTTGGGTTGTGTTTGAATAGCATATTATAATACTTTCCATACAGTTTAGGCAGTATACATGCACATTATGGACGTCTTCTGAATGCACAGAATACCTGAATTTACTATTTTTCGTACTTTACTATGGAAAACACCTGAAAGTATGAAAAAATAATTAAAAAAAACTTTGCTGAATCACAAATATTAGATTAAGAAATCATAACTATGAGATAAAGTCTAAAGTGTGACATACAAAGTCAAGATTAATAATTTACTTTTGATCTTATTTTTACTTTTGTGTCATAATTATGTATTTTTTTTATCTCAATGCATGAATTGTTTTTTGTTCTTTTGTGGGGGAATGGGCTTCCATACCATAATATGTATGTAGTAAGCTTGCATTTCATTCCCAGCGTGGCTTTGGTTTTGTTTTAGGAATGTTTAAAGGACACAAGGCTGGGTTTTGGGGTCAAAGCACAATGGATATTTAAGGCTTAACTAGAGTGACAGTTCCTGAACAATGTCGGTCATCCATCGTTTAGTCATGTGACCGCATTGGAATGGATGTAATTAATGGCATGACAAACTACACAATAGATGTTCTTTCTATATCAGTGTTACTTAAACGTATAACCAGTCTCATTTATTAGGAGGGGCTCAGTCCTGCTCCTGAAGATCTGGGTCTCAACTTACCTTTTTTGAAAAATCCCAAAGCAGATTTTTGCTTATATTTCAGAATAAGGAAAATGGCATAGTTGCTTATCGTCCACCGATGCACCTCTTGTTATCCTCAGGATGTATTTGGTTAACCAAGTAAACCACATTTGAAAAACAAGAGCCCATTTTTCTGTACTGTCCCAGCCCTGCATCTCCACGAGCGGGGATAGACACCTCTGATGATTGATATATTGCATTACTTAATAGTGTTGTGAATTGAGAAGTGATACTAGATTGTTAATGTTTGTTTCCGCAGATCTGGGAGTGAGTGTTTGAGAAGCACCTCTTGACTTCAGTACAGGAGATTGGGCTCAGGGTCATGGCTGGAAGAGGTGGAGCAACGAGACCTAATGGGCCGAACGGCGGCAACAAAATCTGTCAATTCAAACTAGTGCTTTTGGGGGAATCTGCTGTGGGGAAGTCAAGTCTAGTCCTTCGCTTTGTAAAAGGACAGTTTCACGAGTTTCAGGAAAGCACAATAGGAGGTACGACTTCCATTTCGGTGTATAATAATAACCCATATCTGAAGTGATGCTATTCTTACATTTAGTGTTAGTCTTGGTCCTGTGTCAAATGTACTTTTTAGTTATCATCATATTTAGTCAACCTTGTTTTGTTTTTAAGTCAAATTTTAGTGGACCAAAATGGTTAAATTGATAATAGGCTAATGATTATTTTGTTCAAAATTATAAATCACAACGATTGTTGTCATTTGAGAATTTATTTTTACATTCACACACATATACGCACAAATCTAGAGAATGTCAACTCATACACATGGTTTATTTTACCTCATCTAGTTTCCGTTTTTTTTTTTTTTTTTAATAGGCTATTTGTCATAAGTTACACATTCTCTACTTTATGAAAACAAGACATTTCTCTCAAAAATGAACGTGGTGAAATTCCTCACAGTAATTCCAATAATTACATTCATGTTTTTCTATTAAAACAACAGCAATAAATGACTATTTATTGTCACACAGAGCTGCGTAAGTGCATTTATTCATATAGTTGAGAGATTCATGTTTGGATAAATCACTGAGAACGAAGGTTTGATCACAGATAGTAACAGAAACCAGCGCAAGCGGCTCGTGAAGGAACACAGACCGGCTGAGTGACACTTTCATTTAAGCAGAATATCTCAAATGGAGATCGCTGAAATCCAGCTTACTTGTTTTGTCTGTCAGATCATCGACGGCACTTCCGCAGTGTAGAGACAGCGTGTGCGCATGGTTGCCAGACTGCAAATATTAAGTTAAACACAGATTAGAAAAAGTATCCTTTTAAAAGCATGAAAGCTCGTGAAGACTTCTTAAAAACAGTCTAATATTCGATCTCCTCCCTGTAGTCTCATTTTAGTCAGAGAAAAAGGACATTTTTCTTCATAGATTTTTCGTCAACGAAATTAACACTAATGTTAATGCACTTACGGATGGGCAGTATGACTAAAATCTTATTTTACGGTATATACACGCACACCATGGTATAGCAAAATGCCACCCAGCCCTAATTACAATCAGTCACTAGATGGCAAGCCCTAACCCGTCCCTGTCCTCTCTCCACTAGCTGCCTTCTTGACTCAGACAGTATGTTTGGATGACACAACAGTGAAGTTTGAGATCTGGGATACAGCTGGCCAGGAGCGCTACCACAGTCTGGCCCCAATGTATTACAGAGGAGCACAGGCGGCCATAGTGGTGTATGACATTACGAATGAGGTGAGTCCTTACATACTCTGCAGTTTAAACAAGGAATCACATTTTTCGACATCTTTTGAGATTGTACTATAACTCAACACTTCCTCCCATGTCTAAAAAGAGCAGTTATTGAAACCAAGCTGGCTTGTTCTTAAAGTGTAAATTGCAGGTTAACCACCACAACCAATTAATGTGTAAATTAAAGTGCTCAATGTGTATATATTAGGGGTGTAACGATATTCGAACCGAACCGAAAAACCGCGATACAGAAAACACGATTCGAATCGCGATACTCTCATTGCGTACCGAACACGCCCCTCCCCGCCCCCTGCTACCCCGGCCCCGCCCAGCCCGGCTCAATGGACCTCATGTCTTGTGTACAGTACACAACAAATTCAGTTTTGTAGCCTAATAACCACCATTAACACCAAATAACAAGATCCGTGTTTTGTTACTTTCGATAATAAGCAAGGTGTAATCTTTCAAATTCTGTCTATTTGATCACGAAATTCAAACAATAAATGGCGTTTTGGCGCTCTTTGATGTGGCGTGACAGATCGCTGTATGCCTACTAAGCTCCTCATTTCAAACGGCAGCGCGGCGCGCGGGTAAACGCGATCATCTCTTCCTCAGTTACAGAATGGACACCTGAAGGTATGTTGAAAGATGCAGTATACTTACTGAAAGGCATCATAACTAGTGTAATCGCTCAATCAGTGTTTCAGCAGCGGAAAGACGTCAATAAAACAGCATAGCTTGTCACTAGCATTATATTTACCTCAACAGGCAAGTGATTCAGTGTCCACAACTTTGGTTCCTATAAATGAACTCTTGCACTAAATAAATGCACCATGTTAGCCTATATATTATATTTTACTTAACCTGTTAATGATATCTTGATTATTTAATGTATGTTTAAAATATCTTTCATGAAAATGACAACTGTGTAAAGTATTATATTTCAATAACAAATTAGAGTAAAACACAAGTTAATGCAAAAACTGCCTTGTGTTCAGTTTACATGTTTTCATACAATGTGTTGTGTGTTGATTATTATATCTAAAAAATAAATAGCATCTGAATTTAGGTTAAAAGTCTAGGCTACAACCTTTAATGTTATAGTAATGTGCGGCTCCCTATATAGTTTACAGATTTAGCAGATTTTTTTTTAATCATTGTGAAACGTTTAATTGTAATTGAATTAATTTAAAGAAATACCATTTTTTCGTTAAACCACTGTTTAAAAAAAAAGAAAAAAAGAAGCAATTTTAGCTTTCTAAACCGAACCGAACCGAACCGAGACGTCAAAACCATGGGAAAACCGAACCGTCAATTTTGTGTATCGTTACACCCCTAGTATATATTAGAGGTCGACCGATTAGGTTTTTTTCAGGCCGATGCCGATGCCGATCTTTTGAAATCCGGCTCGGCCGATGGCCGATTAATGCTGCCGATTTATTTTGGCCGATATTTGGCCGATATGTGCTTGTTTTTAACCTCTATTTGAAAGATAAAATGTAACAGAAATAATAATTACTTAACATAGACAAAATTTCTCAAAAACATTTATTGAACACTTGAACAATGAACAATCTGCACTTGTACACTTAAATTAAAAATGTATAATGTCAGTGCATTGTAAGTAATACAAGGCTAAAAACATTTCTATCCTCTTCCCAAAAACTGGCCTGAAACATGGGCTGTATTTTTGGTTTGTTTGTTTTGTTTGTTGACGGACAAAGCCAAATGAACATAACCTAATTATCACAAAAAGGAGAAAAAAACCTTTTAATTATTTAATATTTTTTTATATATAAGGTTTATTATATTTTATTTAATTTAACTTATAACAATAACGTATTTCACTAGTAAATTGCTGTTGAACGACAAAAACAACCACCAGATGGGAAAATGATATTTTACAAAAACTTTAAATGCCCACAACGCACCGTCCGTCTGTTGTTCTTCAGCGGCATCCCGCTGTTGGACCTTTTAGTCTACAGTGAAATACAGTCACACTTTACACTGTTTGGCCAGCATTTTAACCATGTTTAATCCAGCTACTAACTAACGGTATGATCAAATTCGCTGCTGACTAGCGTCACGTGCAGCAAAGCGATGTTTCTGTTATTCTAACGTCCGTTTTCTGAGCATCCAAGAGAAGCACTGGCATAACAGTAGCACCGAACTGAAGCACAGAAATCCGTGTTGATATTCGGTGCGGTAGATAACGGTCGTTAAGGTTCCAGTGCCGTATTAGCACCGGGTCTGTCTGTAGCTAACGTACCCGCTAGCAAAGCAAAGCCAGTCTGTCACTAGCCTATAGTGCGTTGGTTTTATTTATTTTATCGTTACTTATTTCTCTGCATTGAGTGACAACCCTCTCAAATATAAGCCACACAAACAGAACAAATAAAAGTCTCAGATTCACTCTGTAATTGCAAAATTATTGCTTACTTATTGTGACATGATCGCAACTCTTCTACTGAGTCTGTGATAATGCAACTTCAACTACGATCCAAAGTAGCCGAATGTCATGTCGCTTATTCAGGTTTTTTCTCAAAGTTAGCAGTAACATATCAAAAGTTTTTAATTAAATATAAAGGAGTTTTAAGAATTGAATCCTTATCGTTTTCTCCAAAGCACTTAGTTAGCTCCTGCCTTAGGCACTGTATGAGGTCTGCTCACTCGGCTGGAAAATGACTCAAGCGGCAGCGCGCGTCAAACACGTGTTCCACGACAACACTAGGCTGCCCGCAGATGCGCCTGCCTAATAATCGGCTTGATATACTTGGATATTGGCCGATGCCGATTATGTAAAAAATGCAAAAAATCGGCCGATTAATCGTCCGACCGATCAATCGGTCGACCTCTAGTATATATGTAAAAATGTCTGTCTTAAAATGCGTTAAAATAACATTTATTGGGGTTTCTTCAAAGGTAGCATGTTTTTTACCGTAACTGGGTGATGACGTCATAACAGGGAGCGCGGGCGGTAATGCACTCACTCTGGTTGAGGGAGAATAAAACGATTCGCAGGACTCCCGCAAACTAGAAATATCTATGAATAAAACATAAAAACGAATATATTTTTATTCATCTGTTGCAGAAAAGCAATAAGAACAACTAAAACAAAATAGAAACGGTTTACAGGCAGAGTTTCTATTTCTAACATGTCTGCAGCGTTGAGCGATGTAGCCAATCACAGACATATGTGTTGATTTCTTGAACGCAATAATGGCCAATCAGAAGCATTTACGATAGACTCCCCTCACCGCTCAAAACGGACTTTTTGTTCAGTGCTGAATTCTGTATGCTGGCAAATCCTCTAATTATAACAGACACAGTGTATATATTATGAAAGCTTCATTGATAATAACAGAGATGTGTGAGATCGCGATGAACTGATGTCAGCTTTTTAGGAATTATTATGGGAGCGCACTTTGCGCGCAGTCATGCACGCAGTAGCCCACTTGCTTTTATGTTATAACAGTGGTTTGTGTGTTAATGCTTTATAACAAATAATTGATCAGGAGGAGCATGTGTATGCTGATGTGTATGGTGGCGACACGTAGGCTAACTTGAAAGTATTTGGAGCTACAGAAAAAAAGTCTTTTTGCGGGTGGGAGCGGGACAAAACATTGTTGCGGGCGGGAGAAAGTAATATAGAAAGTAGTTGAGAACGTCAGTTATAACGACCCACGTATTAAAAAATAGTCGGGTTTAAACCGGGCTCGGGCTCATAATTACAGTTAATGTGTCGGGCAGGGCCGGACCGGGCTCGGACACAGCGGGCTCGGGTAGGGTCTTGCTTGATTTTTTTGGGCCTGATCTAAGCTCTACCTCGGGTAAGTTATGCTAACACTTACAGGCACGAATCAGCCGTTTGTCCTTGGGGAACTTGTGGAGCCTCTCCCCCGTTTTTGATGTATTCGTACATCCCGTACAATCACAATAGTTAACCATTTTTGCTAGCTAGGTCTCCAATATAACGTAACTCCAGGCCTGGAGCATAGGACAGTAAAAGCTTGAAGTACCTTTTATGACGTCACGCCCAGCCTAGTGGAAGGGAGGGGGCGTGCTTAAAACCACTGTAAAACGCACCAACTTTTCATATTATATTCAGCATTTTGGTATAAAAAAACATTAAAAAAAGAATGGTGGGCGGTTCTTATCTTTATGTTTATTAAGCACATTGCATTATCTTCCTGAAAATTTTTACCTGCAATTTACACTTATGACAAACCAGCATGTGAATGCAGCAAAGTGCCGTTACTCATTTCACATGCGAAAAGAGTGTTTACATAGATACAAAAAACATCCCATTTAATGCTACAGGTCAGCGAGAGGATGGAAAATCATTATGAAAAACTAAATTATCACTTACATAATAAGTGGACCCATCAGGGAAAGTAAATATGAAAAAAATGAAATGTGATATGAAGCACAAATGAGAGTGAAAATGCTTTACAGAAATACATGTTATGTTTTTTATTTCAGGAATCATTTACACGTGCGAAAAACTGGGTGAAAGAGCTTCAAAGACAAGCCAGTCCAAATATTGTAATAGCTTTGGCTGGAAACAAGGCAGACCTTGCCAACAAGAGAGCGTTGGACTTTCAGGTTTGTGATGTTTGAACAGCCACAGAGGAGCAGACGCTTCCTGTTGGCTTTACAAATGAGATGTGGAACTGTTGATAAACAAACAAACATGTCGTGCAGACTTCCAGACGTCTGTTTAGAGCCTGAAACCATGACTTCTTGTCTTCTTCTTCACAGGATGCACAGTCATATGCAGAGGACAACAGTTTGCTCTTTATGGAAACATCGGCAAAGACTTCAATGAACGTGAACGAGATTTTCATGGCCATTGGTAAGTTAACTACTTTAACCTACTACTTGTTTGCCAAATAGCCTTCATTCTGCTGTTCAAAAATTTGGGGTCAGTCAGATTTTCATGTTTTTTTAAAAGACTTGTTTAAAGTTACATGTTTTACAGTTAAAAATAGCTGTTTTCTATGTGATGTAAAATGTAATTTATTCCTGTGACTGTTCAGCATCATTACTCCAGTCTTCAGTGTCACATGATCCTTCAGAAATCACTCTAATATGATGATTTGATGCTCAAGAAACATTTATGATTATTATCAATGTTGAAAACAGCTGTGCTGCTGCTTTATATTTTTACGGAAACATTTTCTCATGATTCTTTAATGAATAGAAAGTTCTAAAGAACAGCATTTATTTGAAATATAATCTTTTGTAACATTATAAATGTCTTTACTGTCACTTTTGATCAGTTTAATACGTACTTGCTGAATAAAACTATTAAAAGTAAAAAAATACTGACCCCAAACTTTTGACTGGTAGTTTACCTATGAGTTCTGATATGTATGATATATTTATTTCCATTGTAACATTCTGTTGTAAGTTTTGTTCAGTTTTCCATGTTTGATTGTGAAAGTCTGCTGTATTGTGAAACCTTAATGTTACAGACTACATTTTTGACTGTGCCATTATAAGTTAGAGGTACAAAAATGTCAACATGAGCCTTAGTTTCGCATAACAGAACGGTGTGCATCTAATAAATGATTAATTCAAGAATGTTGTTCAAGTTTACTGCAACAATAGCGCTGCGAACTTCACATACTTTTGAAAATCGAGTGTTTAGTTGATCCTAGTGAGCGCTCCTTGTCACAGTTATAAACACAACAGCTTTCCTCTTCCATGAGGGGGTTTGGCCTCACGACAGCTTTGTTTCCAGACGGACCGTTACAAAACGCGACACACACACACACACCTGGAAAACCTGTAGAATTCAACCAATCAGACGAAGACGTCTAAACTCCCGAAGTGTTTCCCATTTTGTGTGCCTTATGCATCTGGGTAGGGTTGCACCAGCCGTTCGTAAGTTCTTTCTTAAATTGAAACGTAAAGTCCACACTAGAGATTTAGTAACTACTAGCTAGTTTGTAACTAACTCTGTACTTTGTTCCGTTGCACCATTTGTTCGTAAGGCAGAACGTAGCTAGTAGGTCGTAAGCTCTCCGTAAAGTAATGCGTAGTCGCATAATATGACATTTAGTCTCTGATCCAATAGCAGCCTTCAAAACCGTGAGCAGAAGTTGTTTAAATGCTATGAATATCAGTTTATCCTTCATTCTAACTTCTTTTACCTCACTTAACTAACAGTAAAAATACGTTTTAATTAAATACGACACTTAATCATGAATAACATAAGTATTTTATATGTAACTTACATTCAGAAACTGTATTTGAAACAAATTAATAAGTAATGATACAAAAAAAAACGCAAAAAATAACATTTATTGATTATGATTGATTTTATACCGCTAACAAAGTAATCTATTCACAATGTTCTCGCTTTTAAAATGTAAGCGAGTTTAAATGTCAGCATAATGTCTAAAGAATTGAAGTCTGTCAGGTAAAAGAAGAGCTTATGGGTGCAGTTCAGTCTGTCTGCTATTGTAGTCCAACCGTTACTCCTGATTGGAGGCTGCCGTAAATATTTAGTTTATACATAGTTACGCTTCAACTAAGTTTAATGGTGCAACGCAAAAATATTTAGTAGTGCGTAACACCGGGTTCACACCGGACGCTGAAGCGGCGCGGAACGGAAAATCACGCGCGGTCCGGCGCCTGCCTGTTCACACCAGACGCGTATTCTTCGCGGAGGTCGACAAGCGCTTCTGCTCAGTTGTTATTTATTCAGAGCTATTTTTTTTTTACATCATGGGTAAGTAAATAACCTCATAATATAAATACACCATGTTTCTGTAACCAAGAAGTTTGTATACTTCTTTTATTAATCCGTTGTCGAGACACACACGCAGCCAGAGAGAGACAGTAGTGTATATATACCGTTGAAATATACATCCTCTCTTCAAATTTATTAAATCTATTTTCCTCTTCCTGTTTCCCAGTGCGAGTAGACAGGAGGAGAGCCCTTGCCCTATATCTTTTGATTATAGGGTATTATAGGGTATTTTAATTTGAAAATTGCTTATATTTTGACAATTGACCGGATGGTCGAGTGTTTCTTGGTGTAACTTCCTGCCGGAATTGACGCGGATCACTCGCGGCTCGCGGAAAAAATAGACCAGACGCCGAAACTGGCGCTTCACGGCGCGTGCCGGGCGTCTGGTGTGAACGACGCCATAGGTTAACATGGGCGCCGAAAGGAAGCGGCCTCCGTTCCGCGTCGCTTCAGCGTCCGGTGTGAACCCGGCGTAAGTCGTAACTTAGTGTCCATTTACGTCAAAACTAGGCTAAGTTGTAACCGGTTGTAACTTGCGCACAGCTGGTGCAACCGGCCCCTGACGTTCAGACAACAGTCTGAGACTAGCATGAGCCCTGCAGGGCATACCCTTAAAGGTCCCCTGACATGGTTTTTTTTATTATTTTATAATGTTTCCTGGGTTGCCCTTATAATGTTAGTATGTTTTTTAGATGTAATTTAGAAATAAAAGGCATTTTTCCTAGCCTGATTTTAGCCTCTGATTTGAACGCTCTGTTTGAAGGGGCGTGTCTGCTGTGTGTAACCGGCCTCTGCTGTGATTGGCTGACATGCTTGCATATGAAATAGCTATGTATTACATGTGAAACTCTCTCGAATGCTTTTACTACAGCTATTATACGTTTTTACTATTACAGCTATCGAGATTAACGAATCGTGAGATGTTTTTAAAGTATTTAGATCTATTCCCATCACATACAATGTTGCCGTGATGAGCATTGAGCAGATGACAAGTGTGTTGATCGCGAGAATGAAGATCTTATCTTTGCAACGCAGTTTCTGCACTCTCTCTAATGCTTTCACCAATGCGAACACGATGATGTACATACAGTAAGAGCTTCGTTGTGCAGTGTAACGTGCGTCATTGATTTCATAACGAGTGTCCAGATAAACTCGCGCTGTGTGGAAAGATTGTTTGATCGCTTTCTGTATAATTTGTTCACAATTTAAATAAGATTATTTTCATCCTACTAAAAGAAACGATGTGAAGTTGATATTTTAGTCACTGGCTTGACTTCTGCATAAACCGTATTGAACGATTTTGAGAGAAAGATTACCTGTCTGAACTTGAACAATTAGGCTACACATCAGAAAGTGTTGCTTGGTAGCTCGATGATTTATTTTCAGACGTTCATCGAGGCCAGCTCTCTATTGGCCCAATTTGAGGAAACTGTTGAGGAAATGTTTGGACCATACAAAACTTTGTGAAGTTGTGTCGGCGCATTTCCAGAGAAAATAAAATGAACCCATTGTTTCTTCAGAGGCTCGGATGAAGGAACTAAAAAATACTTTTGTGTTCATTTGTACATCCGAACACTGATCAACTGCCATGCTCCGCTCGTTTGCAAGCCATGATATCTCTCGAGGAAAAACTCAAATCGCGTTCGCACTTCCTAGCTCGTTTTCTCATGGGCGAGCCAAAGTCTCTGGGCGGGCGAAGCAGAGAAGGGGAGGTAACCTTTCCTCCGTATGACATCATACGAGATTCAAGATCAGCGCGTCTGAGCTGCAGAGAAGAGAAAAATAGCCAAAGCTCGGTTTACACCGATTGAAATTTCTAGCCACTGGGGGACCAAATACAGGCTAGGGGAACTCATTTTAATGTTAAAAAACCTCAGAAAATGAAAATTTCGGTAACGCTTCCTTTTACAGTACAGTACTTACGTGTACTTACAGTGTACTTATCTAGAAAGTACTGGCTAATATAAGGTAAGTACATGGGTTAGGGGTAGGTTCAGGGTTAGTACCTAGTTATTACCCAGTTACTATAATAAGGACATAGTAAGTACATGGGTAACAGGACTGTAAAAGGAAGCGTTACCAAAATTTCATGTCAGGGGACCTTTAATTTTGTACCTGGGTTTTACTGGGGAAAACGTCACATTTTGGACTTTCTTTTTTATGGAATTTCATGTTAACGTGCAAACATTATAAAACGTACATTTCCATAATATTTCCATGTTCTGTCTTTGCACCCTTAGCAAAGAAACTGCCGAAGAACGAGCCCCAGCCTGCAGGTGCCAACACGGGACGCAACAGAGGTGTGGATCTGACAGAAACGGCACAGCCCACGAAAGGTCCCTGCTGTAGCACCTAAACGCCGCCGCTCCTCGCCTCCTAACCAACCGCATCACATCCGGACACGGGGCTCCTCCTTCCAAACCTCGCTCCGTGGATTAGCTAAAGACTCTGTATAGCTGGGTTTCTAATACTTTTTTTTACTTTTTATTTTTAAGAAAATATATGTAAATCTGCAGTCTTACTGGATGCATGTATCACTACAAAAGCTAAATACACATTTTAACTTAATTCAGCAGGAGAACAAACACGGTTGCGTGTGCGCGCGAGAGAAATATTGAGTGTTTGTATGCGTTTAGTATATGAAACTGATTACCTTATGACCAGGCCCAGGAACAATCTGCAGATTTTTCCTGCGAAAAAGGATTTAAACTTGTAAAATGAAGCTATTGTGATCGGTAACTAAGCGTAATCATCAAATTAGCCAGCATATTTAACAAACCCCATGAATGCATTACAATTCAGAGGAAATCATCATGCAGATTGTGTGTGGGCCTGCTTATGACTCAATGTTGAATCGGATTAAGAGAGTTTTAAAACTGCTTGTGAAAAACTAGATCCTCCATCAGCAGCCGGTCTAACGTTGGTTGTGGGTTTTAGTTTGGATGCAGTGGCTTGTTGTTCTAGTTAAGCATTCCTCAATGCTCCTGCTGTGTGCCTCGGATGAGAATAACGGGCCATCCATTACCAGTGGCTGGGGGATCTCACCAATGAGTTGCTGAATTATCGTCTTTAGGGATAAAGAACAAATCAAGGAAGGCAGTCAGTAAAACATGTTCAGCCTGCTGTATTGATTATAATTATTATTATTAATTGGGACTGTATTCTCATCTCTGTTATGCTTATAATCTTAACGTCAGGCCCATGTGGAATCGGTGCACTTGCATTTTCTGAGGATTTGAACATGTTAAAATGTGTTCAATGGACGACAGGCTTGTAGCTGTGCACATGATAAACTAACCAAAGTATTTAATGGGGACGTTAACTCTTTCCTCGCCAGCGCCAGCATTTTTTATATCTTTCAGTCCCCAGAAATATATGGATATCTGAACATACAATATAACAAAAGAAAGAGCAGAGCCTCTGCTTTTATTCTTACTTAATGCATTGTGTTTTTTATTAACACTTGAATGTGGGTATGTCTCATAAAAAAGCAACATTTTGAACCAAAAGCTGAGAAAATCGTGTTTTTGTCTGGATGGGATTCAGAGCGATGATCAAAACACAGATGTAGTGGATCGAGTCCATCAACACCATAAACAACCTTAGGCTGTTTTGATTTATATGCGGTTTTATGATCGCGATAGATTACATGTGCATCAGCAATGCCTCAATCTCTCTTGTTTCTGCTTCTCTTCGCCTGTGTTTTGATCAGGAGGTTCTGGACTCTTTCAGGAGACGCTTAACAGCGCCCTCTACTGTAGAACACTGGAAACATAAATTGCAGGGAAAGAGTTGGTGTAAAATTATGTGGGCAATTGAAATCTGTGCGAATTCCATGTGGGCCTTGACAATGATCAATTAAAAAAAAAAAACACACACACACACACAAAAAAAGTGTTGAACATTTCCCTGCAGTTTTTATTGTAATCTTACAGGTAGTCATGAGCAAAAAAAAACATGTCTCCACATGTACTCTGAGGACTAAAGGCAAATTTAAATTATATGTGCCGTCGAACAAGACATACAAGACTCTGTGAGGGCCTTTGTTTCATAACATGACTTTCTTTAAATGTTTCATGGGCAGAAACACACACATGATTTAGATTTGCCTCCCAGTAATTTGCACACTGTACAGCCTCCCATAAACCCTAGTTTCTTTTCACAGAGAATCATGTTTAAATGGTGGTCTTTTTAAATGTATGTAGTGTTATTAAGAAATGAACTTGACATTTAGTCAGTGGTCTGTCTTGTACCTTCTCTCAAAATGCTCAATGTTTTTATTTCTAAGAACCTACTGAATTGCACAATTTTGAGTTGCGTTTTTTTTTCTAGTTATGAAATTGTGGCTGCCTGTCGTATCCGAAACGATTTCATCATGGACTACAGTGGACTTTAACACTCCTGAAGTAGCACAGGTAGCTGCGCTCAAACTAACTGGCAGACGTTCAGTAATTCAACAGTAACACTGAGAGACTGATCGGTTTTTAATGTCCAGGTACTAGTACATTTCCAATAAAGGGGGTGAAATGTATATATACATGCTGTGAATGTTCCACGTTTGATTCGTACATGCATATGGAATATAAATGCTGTATGCAGGAACAGGGATTTAATGCTAGACATGAATAACGTTTGCTTTTTTGAGGTAAATTATCCAGTTTGAGGAGGCGTGCATGAAGTTCCCTTACAGTGTTTTTAGTTGAGCTCTGAATATTGTGATGAAACATGCAGCATCAGCTTTTCCAATGTATGTTTCTTCACAATTTCTGTGGTATTTTTTCTGTAGGCCAGTAATTCTGAATCCTGTTAGTGGTGCAGAAATGTCACATTTTAAGTGGACACATTTTTATATGAAAAAAAAAATATATATATCATATGCCAGGCTTCATTATATAGATGTGTATATATATATATTGAAAGGGAATATTTTATTGAACCTTTAGACAAAACATTTTTACATCTTAAAAAAAGTTTGCATACGTATTTTATTTGATAAAAATCATATTTGATTCATCAGGCTTTTATGACTCATAGTGAGGAGCAATTTAGAAAATATGCAGATGTTTATATGGCTAAAAAGTAAGATGAAATTCTGATGCTTGGAACATAAATCAATGAGATCTTTATAACAGATACTTGCCTAAAATGGATAGGTCAAATGTCGTCTGCCACTCTATATCTCCTAATAACATGCTTTGATATAATGCTGTTCAAATATTTAGTTTTGTGATCAAAGCTTTGTAGTTTTTTATTGTGGGGGACAAAAAACATAATGCAATGCGTTACAATGACGATTGAGAGATGAATAAATAAATGCTCAAAAGGTGGATCATATTTGATGGTTAACATGATTTAAAAAAAAGAATAATAATAACATCATGTAAACCTAAGTTGCTCCAGTAAGTGTTCATCTTGAAATATTACTAATATCATGACCTTTGCAATTGCACTAAAAAGCCTTTTACTTATTTATCAGATTGCTTACAACAGAGCTTTCCCAGTTTTGATGAGACAAGCCTTTGAAATGTGCGTATCAAATATGATGTCTACATTAGGGTAAAGATAGTTGATGTCTGGCCTAAACATGAGATTTCACCCTGAAAGTCCCCTATAAATGTCGAGTTTCTGGAGCAGAAATCGCTTTTATTAAAGGAACACCCCGACTTTTGGGGACTTTAGCATATTCACCTTATCCCCCAGAGTTAGATAAGTCCATACATATCTTTTTCATCTCCGTGCGTGCTATAAGTCTGTTTGACGCACCCACCGCTAGCCTAGCTTAGCACAAAGACTGGGTGTAAATGGTTGCAGCTAGCATAACGTTACTAATCCAAATAAGTGACAAAATAACGCAAACATTTTCCTATTTACATGTTGTGATTTGTATAGTCACAGAGTGTACAAAAAACAAAGTCACATGAGACATATTTTAACCTTATAAATACTGGGAACTATATTCTCTGAAGGCGAAGCACTGCTACTTGGGCGGAGTGATTAATTTAGTGCAACACTCTGAACGAACTCTCTGCTCCTCACCACGGCGCGTCTCAGGTGCTGCGGTTATCACTCCGCCCAAGTAGCAGTGCTTCGCCTTCAGAGAATATAGTTCCCAGTATTTATACGGTTAAAATATGTCCGTGTCTCATGTGACTTTGTTTTTTGTACACTCTGTGACTATACAAATCACAACATGTAAATAGGAAAATGTTTGCGTTATTTTGTCACTTATTTGGATTAGTATGCTAGCTGCAACCGTTTACATCCAGTCTTTGTGCTAAGCTAGGCTAGCGGTGGGTGCGTCAAACAGACTTATAGCACGCACGGAGATGAAAAAGGTATGTATGGACTTATCTAACTCCTTTAAGGTGTCACTGAGGTCTCTTATTAAAAAAAAAAAAAAAACACTATTATTGCTGGGTTTTTTCACATTTTCTGAATCTAAATCAATTTATCTAGTGCTTAATAATTAATATAAGCAAGTTGTATGTATAATAAAGTATTGTATTTCTGGTAGGCCTGCTTTTCAAAGAAAATCACCTGTTTATCTGCCTCCGCTTTACGTGGATAGTAATAGTTGTGCGTGTGCAGAGATTGTTTACTGACCACATTACCCACTTTTCAAGAAAAAGATAATTAGTTTTTCGGCGTTAAAAGCTTTTTCCTTACCTGCACGTGCTCCTCCTATCCAGCAGAGGGCAGCAGGACTCTTCTCCAGATGTGCGCGATGCGGAAGATGTTTTTCTCCTCTAGAAAACTCAAAACTTTACTCTTTCAGCGTTTATGTTAAACACGGCTTTAAAAGTTTTCCGATGTGAGTCTCTCTGGGCTTTTCCAAAGAGCTCCACTGCCCTCCAGTCAGATTGAATCAGGGCAATTTGGTGTCCAGGTGATGCAAATTACCCACAGGCCATTGTGTTTTGTGTGAATTAAAATCAATATGCATGCAAATTGGACATGGCCCAATTCATCTGGGTCGATACGCACATTCTGACAATCACTGATTCAGAAAACACTGCACAAAACAGGCCACAGAATGAAAATTAAATAAATAAAAGTTGAAGTAGCATAGCAATTAGTGTGGTTTCAACACTGTTTACAGGAACTCACATGCTGTGCATCATTATGGTTCTTGAGTTTGCTCACTAATAAGACTGTAATTTCATGTCCACTATTTAATAAACATCTGACAAATCTAGCATTAACTTCAATGCATGAATAAATGAACTGGATGACTCTCACCTCCATCTATTGAAGAAAATCTTACAAAAAAAACCCTACTTGATATCACATAAATTTGGGAGCCATTTTAGGTGTTGTACAATTGAAACTACTTAAAATGAGGGAAATTATCTAAAAATCCCAAAGAATATAAACAAGGACAGTGATATACAGTGAAACTCGAAAAATTTGAATATTTTGCTAATAGCATGAGGCAGTAATTCATGCAAAAGTGGCCCAAACCAAGAACTGAGTACATATGCATTATTATACTTTTCAGAGGGCCGACATTTCTATATTTAAAATCCTGTTTTTTAATTGATTTCATGTAATATTCTAATTTTGAATGT